TTTCCTTTTCCAGAATGTTATAGAGCTGGAACCGTACAGCATGAAGACTTTCAGGCTGACTTTTTCACTTAGCTATGTGCATGTATGTTTCCTCCATATCTTTTCATGCCTTAAGAACTCATTTCTTTATATTACCAAAGACTGTCCCATCATTTGGATGTAACATGACTTGCTTATCCATTTACCTATTGAAAGACATCTTGTTTATTTCTAAATTTTGGCAGTTGTGAGTAAACCTGCAATAAGCATTCATGTGCAGGTTTTGTGTGGATGGTAAGTTGCAACTCATTTGGGCAAATACCGGACAGAAATTGCTAGATCATATGATAAGAGTGTTTAGTCTTAGAAGAAATTACCAAACTGTCTTCCAGACTGGCTGTATAGATTTTGTTTTCCTATCAGCAATGAATGAGCATTCCAGTTGCTCTACATCCAGCATTTGGTGTTATCAGGATTCTGAATTTTGTCCATTCTGGTAGGTATGTAGAGGTAGATTCTTGTTTTTTAAGTTTTCAGTTCCCAATGACATATGCTGGGAAAGATTGAAGGGAAAAGGAGAAGGGGCAGCCGAGGATGAGATGGTTAGATAGTATCACTGACTCAATGAAAATAAGTTTGAGCAAACTCCAGGAGATAGTGAAGAACAAGGAAGCCTGGCATGCTGCAGTCCATGAGGTCACAAAGAGTCAGACACAACTTAGTAACTGAACACCACCACCAACCAATGACATATGATACTGAACATCTTTTCATTTGCTCACCTTTTGTCTGCGTATCCTTTTAGATGAGCTTTCCATTCAGATATTTTGCCCATTTTTTAATTAGACCATTTTCTTATTGTTGAGTTCTAAGAGTGCTTTGTATACCATGGATACAAGGTCTTTATCAGATAGTCTTTTTCAAATATTTTCTCCCAATCTGACTTGTCTTTTCATTCTCCTACCATCCTCATATTTCTCATGCCTGCATCTTCTCATTTAATCCTCCCAGTATTCTCGGAGCTGTCTAATACTTATCTATATAGCATTTTGCTAAGGAATCCAAGGCTTAGAGAGATCAATGGACTTGCTGAGTGATGGAACGAAGATGTGCCCCCAGAACTGACTCCTGGCTTCAGACCTCCCGTTACCATGTCTGCTGTCCTGCCTGCCACAGGATAGCCTGTGTGAGAATAAACCTTGCTTGTTTTGCACTAAAGTATGCTCCACTGTCTAAGAAAAGAGTCTCTTTTGAATGCTCTGCAGAGCCCGGCTTGGTGACTTGCCTCTAAGCATCTGAATAGGGAATAGAAAGCCCTCTGTAGCCTAAGCCCCGCCCACCTCCTCTGCTTCTTATCCGGCTGCTAATCCCCTCCCACTCCATGTTCACAAGACAAGAAACCCTGTTTGTAGCTCATCCAATATGCTTGCTTTTCCAGGATCCCTGCTGTCACTCTTGCATTTGTTCTCTCTGATGGAAAGACCCTTCTTCATTGTCCACTGGTCAAGTCTTACTTTCAGCGCCTCATTCACATATAACTTCCCAAAGCTGTTTATTTATTTGGCTGTGCCAGGTCTTATTTGCAGCATGTGGGTCTTCCATCTTTGTTGCAGCATGTGGGATCTTTAATTGCGACATAAGAACTCTTAGTTGCAGCCTGTGGGATCTCGTTCTCTGACTGGGGATCGAACCTGGGCCCCCTGCATTGGGAGGTCTTAGCCAATGGACCAGCCACAAAATCCCCGAACTTGTTCTTAATAAATTAAGAGGTGATACTGACAAATACCTGGTGGTAGAGACACCTCTCATCTTTAAGAACATATAGCTAAAAGAAATGTTCCTGTTTCTTTTTAAATCATATTTGCTTTCAGACTTTAGATTCCATTTTATATTAAAGGAAGTACCCGCTCAACATTTTAAACCTCTGTTCCCAGTGCTGTAGATCCCAAGGGCAGGCATAACTCAATAAATAGAGGAGATTTTTGACTCAGTCATCGGTGAGACCGATAAGTGAAAATACATTTTGCATTTTTCACTTTTTTGAGGCTTGTAGTTTTTTGTAACCACTGGTAATAAGACTTAACAGTCTGAGCTCAGAGTCAGGGGCTGGACCTTGTTTGAAGCCCCGCTGGGTGGATGTCCCCCAGGAAATCCCACTGCAGGAGCTGGGGTCCAGACGCCTGCACAGACTCCAGTGCCTGCAAGATGGTGCATGTCCACGGACAGCATACTGTGTGGACAGAGCAGAGATTCAAGGTCAGACAGTCCTGAGAGAATCCCAGCTTTGCCACTTGCAAACTGTGTATCATCGGAAACTTGCTTAACCTCTATGAGCCCGTTTCTTCATCTGTGAAATGGGAAGAATATTACATCACTGTGATATTAGCATATAATAGTGATATCAGCATAACAGTCTGTAGACCTATTTGGGGAAATATATGATTGTGAAACCTTCAATGTCTGCCATCCACTCCAGAAAGATCAGCTTCAAATTCCTTCCCCACATCACACCCCACTGCCCCACTTACCCACAGGGAAAACTTACACCTCCTTCCCTACCTCTGGTTGCTTCCATGGAAACTCCTCCCTATGAGGAGTAAGAAATGTGGCATCCAGTGTAGCTCAGGGTCTAGCGCAGTGCCTGGCACACAACGGATGCTCAGTGAATCATTTATTATTATTATTGTATTATTCATTGAATTTTATTGAATTATATTATTGAATTATTATTATTTTATTTAGGCTGTGCTGGGTCTTCGTTGCTGTGCATGGGCTTTCTCTAGTTGCAGTTCATGGGCTTCCCAACAGAGTGATTTCTCTTCGCATGCTTTCATGGTTGTGGTGCCCGGGCCCAGTTGCCCTGTGGGATGTGGGACTGAACCTGTGTCCCCTGCATTGACAGGCAGATTCTTAACCACTGGACTACCACAGAAGTCCTCAATGAATAATTTTTGAATCGATTATTTAGTTAATGAATGAATGGATGTAGGGTGGTAGCCCCGGCCTGCTTGTCCATCCTGGATCCCATTCTTTGCCTTCTCCTGCTCAACCTTCCATCAGGGAGCTGACCCCTTAGGTTGCATTTCTCACCACCTCTTGTCCGCTGGCCACTAGCTCAGTTTGGCCAGTGATGGGCGCTGGTGTTGGAAACTGTAAGGTGGGAGAAAGGAAGAAGCCAGCGCTGGTGTTGGAAACTGTAAGGTGGGAGAAAGGAAGAAGCCAGCGCTGGTGTTGGAAACTGTAAGGTGGGAGAAAGGAAGAAGCCAGGGTATCTCTCCCCTCTGGCCCCATCACAGGTACCTTCCTGAACAGCCAGGGAGTCTCTTCCTTTTCTCCTGCTCCCACCAGAGAGGCCACCGCAGCTCCAGGCTCCCACCGGGGCCCCACTCCCTGGGCTCCGGCGCCCTCGCTTCCTCGCTCTGTCCCACCCTCCCTGGGGTGGCAGTGTCTCCTTGTGAATGTTTATCTCCGAGTTACTCTTCCCTCCTCCCTTTGGCTTCTCAACTCTTCCATCACCTAGGTAACCACTTCGCTGTTGTTAACGCCTCTGCTGTGCACCCGTGGAGAAGGAAACGGCAACCCACTCCAGGATTCTTGCCTGGGAAATCTCATGGACAGAGGAGTCTGGCAGGCTACAGTCCCCATGGGGTTGCAAAGAATTGGACGCGACTGAACGACTAAGCACAAGTAACCGTGAAGTGCTTACTCCTATCCTGCTTAGACCCCTCTTGGGAATCAGGAGTGTCTGAGCTCAGAGTTAAGAGAACCTCACTCTTCTAGGCTCCACCATCCACTGACCATGTGGCCTGTCGGTCCTTGGGAGCCTCAGTTTCCTCATTTGTAACAAAGGTTCACAGCATCCATCCTGCTTCTCTCCCAGGTCGCTGTGAGAGTCCAGAGAGAGAATCTGTTCACCTGCTCACCAAGTACTTATCAAGTACCTGTGCAGAAGATAGATCAGGGGGCAAGACGCATCATGTCCCTGTTCTTGGGGGTTCCGGTTTGTAGTAGTAGATATGCTTATAAACTGCACAGCTCTGGAGAGGCCCATAGGATAAGCTGACGCAACTTCCTTGATCCCCATAAACCCCTGTGGATGCCCAGAGCTCCCCAGTCCACCTTTGGGGAACCCCAGCCCTGCCAGTGGAGGCAGCAACACTCAGTGATATGAACCCAGTGATGGGGACAGCAAGCTGAGCCTCTCCCCTGCATCAGACCCAACCCGGATGTTCTGTTTGTGTGTCTTTTAGCGAGTCGGAGCTCACTTGAATTAACTGTAAAGGATTAGCCTGATTCTTCTGCTGAAGAAGATTTTTTTTCCTTAATTGTTTTTATTTGGTGTTATTTGAAGTAAGCGTGCCATTGACTAAAGCCTGCACATCTTGTTTATGCCTAGATTGTGTTTAAAATGGTATTCTCTGTAACACGATTTTTAGTTATTGATGACCTCTTTTATAATGACTTAGTCAGCTTCACTTGAATGATAGTATTGATAACAATATGTGACTGACAATCTGTTTGCAATAATACTCCAAGAGGCAAAAGGAAAGCATTTGTACACTCAAAGAAAATAGATACATTTGCTGGTTTTAAGAAAGCATGAAAATGGAGCATATTTATCCTGATTGCACTTCCCAAGATGCTTCCAGAGTGTTTTCATGCGGTCTTTCCTGCATTGTCCTCGGCAGAAGGCATCTCTACCTGTTTTTAATGACAAAATCTCTAAGATTTAAAGAGGCAGATGAGTCTCGCCAGTAGGTAATGACAAAACCAGAACCAGAAGGGCAAAGGAGCTTATACAGGCCCTTTGTAAGGCAGAGTAATCTCCCTGAGCCTCAACTTCCTCATCTGTAAATGGGGATAATAACTGAGGGTGATGCTAGGGGTTCAAGGAGAATGTGTATGTCACTGGCATGATGCCTGGTGTGTGCTGATAGATGGCGGCTCTAAAGCAGGCAGAGCTGGCTCGTCGCCCGAAGCCCTCTAATCACTCACCCCCTTGTCTTCTGCTCTCTCTGCAGATGACCATTCTCGAGTGAGACTGCTGGTGCTGGATGGAGACCCGCACTCCGACTACATCAACGCCAACTACATCGATGTGAGGCTCTCCACGGGGCTGGGGGGCTGGGTTCTGGACGGGCTGCAGCAGACTCAAATCTGTGACTTTCCCCCCAGCCCGTCCCCTAGACAGTGGCCCTCCTAGAGCAAGTCCACAGGGTCTGGCTCCTCCCTGTGACTCATGTAACCCAAGTTGATTATCCATCTAAAGATGCACCCATTTTCAGGGTGGCTAGAGTGATCTGCTCTGTGAAGCCCAGGACTGCCAGCCTTATTCATTCACCCATTAATTCTTAAATTTTTAAAAAATTTTATTTATGTATTTATTCGCTGTACTGGATCTTCGTTGCTGCGCAGAGGCTTTCTCTAGATGCAGCAAGCAGGGGCTACTCTCTAGTGGTGGTTCGAGGGTTTCTCATTGCAGTGACTCTTCTTGTTGCAGAGCCCAGCTCTAGGGCTCACAGGCTTCAGTAGTTGTGATGCGTGGACTTGCTTGCCCCATGGCCTGTGGAGTGTTCCCAGACCAGATATCGAACCCGTGTCCCCTGCTTTGACAGGCGAATTCTTAACTGCTGTACCTCAGGGAAGTCCAATTAATTCCTGTGTGTGTGTGTCTGTTTGCCTATTCATTCATTCATTTGAAGGTACAGCCATTTATGTAATGAAAATTTCAGAGTTGGATGCTATGGGGACCAGAAAGCTAAAAATGCCATGGTCTCTACCTTCTAAAACCTTAGCAGGAAGATAAGCTGTGCACATCAATAATTCCAGGGCAAACTAGAAAGTGAGTGTCATAAGTTCAGATAAAATGCCACAGGGATTCAGAGATGAGGGGGAAAGTCACCCTTCCATCAGGAATGTGAAGTACGATGTGAACCAGAGCTTTAAGCACAGGTAGAATTTAAAATCAAAGAGGGGGGAGATGGACCTCTGGCCAAAGAACCGCACAAACTGAGATGTGGCGGAGGATATGGTGCAGCAAAGTGTGAGGGGAGGAAAGACTCTGTGATGGGAACAGAGAAAATAAGGCTGGCATCGGGTCACGGATGGTTTATGGTCAAACATAGGAAGTCACACTTTATTTTGTAGGCAAGAGGAAGCTATGGAAAGTGTTTGATCAAGGAGGTGACCGGTTCAAAGCTGAGCTGTAGGATGGCTTATCTATTACTGAGATTAAGACAGATGAGAGAGAAGAGGGTCTGTGATTAAGACCCCCAGTTAGGAAAGGGACCACTTCAGTGTTCCAGAGGACATGGAGGAAAGGACTAAATACAACAGGGGCCGAGACAGGTGTACATGGAAGTGAGAGAGTTTGTAAAAGGGAAGCGTGGTCACTGGGTCCAGAGAGACATCCCAGCATGACTGATGCAAGCCAGGCTTCTCAGGACCTCAGCTGGGAGGCCCAAGAACCTTGACGAAAGGCTGAGTTCGTCCCGGGTCCTTCTGACTCCCAGGCATTTTTATAGACAAGCTATAAGCTACTGTGGCAGGCTTTAGAATTTCCCATAATTTAAGCTGAGCCGGATAATTCACTGACTCAACAAATATGCATTAAGCCTCACCTTAGACATTGATCTTTTGCCCTCTGATCTATTCCATGTCTTTCCCCGTTCTGCTTTGCTTTGCTGGTGTGTATGTGGGCAGAGGGAGGCCGGGGGTGGGGGAGGTGGTTACAGAGAGGAGAGAGAGCTGACCCCTTTAAGGAAGGTGTGATGGGAGATAGGAGGGTGAAAGGAAGGGAGAAGCCATCATATTTCTCCACCTCTCTTGCTTCCTGGGATGGCAGCTCCAGCAGTGGCTCCAGTTCCATCCACCAGGACCACCAGGGTGGTCCAGCCTCAACAACATGGCCCCAGCTCCTGGGCTCTGGCGGCTTCTCTGTCTCCCATTATACCTGCTGGTTTGGGGTGGCCATAGCCTCTTGCTATTGCAGATCTCTGGACGGCCCACTGTTCTCTGTTATGCATCCCAGCTCCACCATCACCTGTATAACCAGCTCCCTGCACTGCATTCCCTCTGTCTGAGATGCCTGGCGTGGTCCCTAGATCCCCCTCCCGACCAGGATCCTGGCTAACAAAGGGCCTGCGTGTGGCCAGCACCTGGGTCTGGGGCTTCCGTAGAGGTCTAGATAGACACGGCCCCTGTCACGCACAGGTCGTGGAAGGGGACAGAGGGTCAGTGGAGGGACAGAGAAGACACCACGCCCAAGCTTCCAGCACGGTGTTAGCAGCACAGGGTGGAGGGAGGGGAACTGCACCGGGTGTGGGTGCAACAGAGTCACGATTCCCGGCGTCACTACGGGGATGCCTGGCAGGACTCGCCCTAGGCAGCTATCAGGCTCACCCCTCGGCCCGAGTTTCCACCCAGTCAGAAATCCAGCCCTCCAAAGGGCTGACTGCCCGTGCTCGAATCATTTATCCAGTTGGATCTTGATGCTGCACTAAAACAACTCCATTTGGATAATGAGCTGAAAGGGGCCAGCCCTGTCTAGGCCTCCAGAGGCCACAGTTCTTCTGTCATCTGAACCATCCCACTGGCAGGTTTGTTTCACACCCGAGGATGCATTGGCCACTTGAATCCGTTATAAATTACCAGTCTGGAAATAAATATCATATCTGGGTCCCCAGTAAGTAACAGATGCATGAGTACAGAGTGAGATAAATGTGTTTTGGATGCAAACCTCTTTCCCATTGCTCACAGCCAGATGGAGGCAGGCCCAGCGCAGGTTTGCGGCTGATCTGTGTGCTGTGTAGGTGGGACTTCAATGAACTCAAAGTTCTTTTAAGGTTAGGAAGTTTCTGTACCAGCTCTTGGCAGATCCCTGGAGGAGCCCCAAATAAGCAGTCCATTTCCTTTTATCTCCAATTGCTAAAGAGTCCTATCGTTAGCATGTTTTCTTTCAGGAGACTGTACGGGTTCCAGGAGGCCAGAGAGGGTCTCTGGACTCGGGCGCCATGTGTGGACAGGCACACAGCAGGCAGGCATTCATTCCTTATGCATTTATCAAGGTGATGGCCAAGGCAGACTTTTCCGTGCTGGGGGGACAGCCATGAGCCAGCCCACTACAGCCCTGCCCTGCTGGAGCTCTCATTCAACTGGGCACACAGACACTATGCTTGTAATAAACAAAGACGTTGGTGTTAAGCGCCCTGAAGAAAAGTAAAGCAGAGAAGTCAAAAAAAGGATGTCAGGGTGGACTGTCTGCGGAGGTGACTGCTGTCCCAGAAGAAGCCTGGATGGGAGGGGAGAGCCGACCCCTGGGTTACGTGGGGATAGACACAGCTGACGCAGGCCCAGGGAAGGACCAGCGCTAAGGCCTGTGCATGGAAACGTGACAGCCAGTCAGCATGGGGAGAGTGGGAGGAAAGCTAAGAATATTGCTTCATGAATGATGAAATGGGAATCACAGGGGTGTCGAGATGCACAAACCAGGCTTACGAGGCCCGTTCAACTGCAGTGACCTCACTGAACACTTCTCTGGCCTCCTTGGTCAAGTCCACTCCCCAGAGCCCCAGATCTTTCCCTCGGTGGCCCTTATCTCAACTCGTTGATGTCTACAAGCTGCTTAGAATCTGAGTCCACATTCATCTGGTCCACTTTTGTATCGCTAGGGCCTTGTACCGAGTAGTAGATGCTCAGTTAATACCTGTTGATTGAATACTGAAGGACTGAGTGACCAAACGAATGAACAGAATAGTGAACCCAAGTCATCAAACCCCCACAATTGAACTGTGAATGCCTTGCTCAGAATTCCATCCCATTGATGCTGAAGTGCATTGTGAGTAAAGTGAGAGTGTTAGTCATGTCTGACTCTGGCCTACCACATGGACTGTTGCCTGCTGGGCTCCTCTGTCCTTGGAATTCTCTCGGCAAGAATACTGGAGTGGGTTGCCTTTCCCTTCTCCGGGGAATTTTTCTGACCCAGGGATCAAACCCAGGTCTCCTGCATTGCAGGCAGATTTCTTTACCATCTGAGCCACCAAGGAAGTGCGTTGGAATCTTCCAGATTCCATGCATTTTGTCTTTGCCTTTTGTCTGCCAACCGGGGCATTAAAGGAGTGCCCCAAGCTCACCTCAAAAGATGTGTTCATGCGTGTATGCCACAGCCAGCCTTTGCTGAAAGCTGTGCCCGGCTCTGGGTAGCCTATCCAATGGCCCAGAAAGAGAAAGTATTAAAAAAACAAACATTATAAGGGTGTTGATTGGGCATCTCCCAAGCCCTGCAGGACTGCTCAGGAGGAAAGAGGGTTCATCTGAAGGGAAGCTTGGGACACAGGGTACCTGGAAGGGCCTCGAGAGGCACAGCTGGGAATGAGTCTGGAGACAAGGATGGAGACAGGTGATCAGTCCCACGCTAAAGCATCTGGACGTTATTATACAGGCAGCAGGTAGCCATTGCAGGCATTGAAGTGGAGAAATAAAAATAATAATGAGATGAGTGAGCATTGGGACGTTCACCCTGGCAGGAGCAGATGGGCTCTGAGACCAGGTGGGAAGGTTAGGAGGTAGGGAGGCCAGCCTGAGGCCTTGGCCCAGATCAAGGAGGATGAGGACTCTAAGAAGGAATGATGGCAGGGATGACAGAAGACCATGGACTTGAGAGACCCCATCTTTCCACACTCCAGGGTACTATTTTCTAGTCCCAGACCTACTCAGGAGAACTCCCAGAGTCTGTTTTTTCCTGTGATCCTGAAAGCACGGTTGGTCTTGACTGGGAGGAACAGAGCTCTCTGCCTCTCATTGTCCTCCCTACCTCTCACGGCTCAGAGAGGGTCTCAGTTACTACATCTGTAGGGAGGGCAGAGAGGAGGGGAGGGTTCACCGTCTCAGGATCTCCCTCAGGGCCAGTGCAGACTTTGAATCGTGGTAGGTACTCGATAAATGCTTTCCCGACACACAGTAAAATAATAATAGCAAAGGCGTATATGTTAAACTCTAGACTACTGCCTGACACATGGTAACAGTCATCTATTAACTCACTTAATCCTAACCAGAAGGCTATAATGTAAACGCTGTTATCCCCATTTAACAGCAAAAATCAATTAAGGCAACAGGAGGTTAAGTAACCTGCTCCAGACCACACAGCCCATTAGGAACAGAGCCAGGATTCACACCCAGGCTGTTAAATCCAGAGTCTGAGCACATGACCACCATGCTCTGCTGCTTTTCTTTCTTTTTAAAAACTTTATCTTACAGTTGCTTCACTGTGTTGGTGTGCATGTCCGCCGTCCAGCACAGTGACTCAGTTATACAGCTCTTTATGTTCTTTTTCATGTTATTTTCCCTTGGGGTTTATCACAGGATATTGAATGTAGTTCCCTGGCTAACAGGTGTGTATGTGTGCTCAGTGTCCCCCTCTCTGTGGCCCCATGGACTGTAGCCCGCCAGGTGCCTCTGCCCGTGGAATTTTCCAGCCAAGAACAGTGGAGTGGGGTGCCATCTCCTACTCCAGGGGATCTTCCTGACCCAGGGATGAAACCCGCATCTCTTGCATCTCCTGCACGGGCAGGCAGATTCTTTACCGCTAGTTCCTCCTATACAGTAGGACCTTGTTGTTTCTGTATACATAAATAAAAGTCTGCATCTGCTAATCCCAAGCTCCCAGTCCATCCTTCCCCCACCCCCTCTCGCTCTTGGCAACTACAAGTCTGTTCTCTAGGTCTGTGAGTCTGTTTCTGTTTTGTAGATACATTGCTGTGTATCTATTTCAGATTCCACACACGTGACATCATATAGTATTTGTCTTTCTCTGACTGACTTTGGGCATCCTTTGTGGCTCAGCTGGTACAGAATCCGCCTGCAATGAGGGAGACCTGGGTTCAATCCCTGGGTTGGGAAGATCCCCTGGAGAAGGCTACGGCTACCCACTGCAGTATTCTGGCCTGGAGAATCCCATGGACTGTTTAGTCCATGGGGTCGCCAAGAATCAGACAAGACTGAGCAACTTTCGCTGACTTACTTCACTTAGTATGATAATCCCTAGATTCATCAAAGTTGCTGCACATGGCATTATTTTGTTCTTTTTTATGGCTGAGGGGTATTCCATTGTCTAAATCTACCCACATTTTCTTTATCCATTCATCTGTCCACACACATCGTTTCCATGTCTTGGCTATTGTAAATAGCGCTGTTATGAACACAGGCTACATGTATCTCTTTGAATTATAGCTTTGTCTGGACATATGTCCAGGTGTGGGATTACTGTATCACATGGCAACTCTATTTTTAGCTGTTTGAGGAACCTCCATACTGTTCTCCACAGGGCTTGCTCCAGTTTACATCAGCAATGTGGGACTCTTCCCTTTTCTCCACACCCTCTCTATCATGTGTTACTTGTAGACTTTTTTAAGTGTAGACCATTCTGACTGGTGTGAGGTACTGATTTGCATTTCTCTAATAATTATATGCTGCCATCCTGGTTGGTCTCTCTCAAGAGCTTGTTTATTGGGCATCACTCTGGGTTTCACACTGTACGAGGCTCCACAGACAAGTTTTTAAAACTTAGGAGGCAGTGTTTGTCCCCAAGAAGCTGAAAACTTTCCGAAGAAGATAGGACCGCTCATACAAAGAGTCCAGGTGGGCGGATTGATTCCTGGTGGTTCATCCAACCATTGTAGCCATGACATTGGCCTTGGGTTGGGACTGACAGTTTATTTGTTCATTAAACTTTATGACTTGTTTTCTCCTGAGATTAAAAGTGAAATTTCAGGACTTTCCAACACCCTTTCCACCAACAGGCTCCATATTTGGCATCTATCTATATCTTTTAGACGTACCCATTCATTCATTTGCTTACTCATTTAGCCATTCAGTTATTACTGATTACATTCATTGTCATGTATTAAATACAGATCTGTCTCTAAAATTTGAACTTCTGCCCAATACGATACATTTCCTCTTTGTAACAAGAAAGGGGACCCTCCATGTAGTCCAGGCCCAGACAGAAGAGAAAGTCATCTTCAACCTCTCCCCAGTGATTAGGCTGATGAGGCACCAGAGTAACCCCACATCAGAGCCCAGCAGGGTCTACTGAAGACCCTGAAATGTACAGGAAAATGTCTCTGAACTAGAAAATGACTTTATCAGTCTCTGGGTCACACCCACCTGGGGCCCTCTCCAGTGAAAGGAACTTCCGTTCCAAGCCCAGCCATGTGGCAGAGAGGCAGTGTGGCAGCCTTCCCAGTTTTCTTTTTCTAATTGTTACTAATGCAAGGAGTCAACAACGCAATTGTTGTTTTCTCTCTGGTGCCCTTTGGGGCCTTGCACAGTGTTCTGCATGTAATCATGGCTCAGGAAAGGCTTGGTGGTGGGTGATGTCTCACAGAAACCTGAAAATTCCTTCTCCACCTCTTTCTGGGTGTGCCTGGCCACAACTGATGCTCATCCAATCTTGGTTCCCAGTTCATGGCTCCAAGGCAAGCCTGTTTGGGGCCCCTCACAAGGAGCCATAAGAACAGCTAACATTTAGCGACTGACTCAGCATTTTATATGCATTAGCTTATATAATCTTAGCCACTTGTCTGGGAAATGTCTAATGCTAGCCTCATTTTGTTTATAAGGAAACCAAGCCTGGGAAAGGATAATTATTAGTACTGTACCATTTGCAAGCTTAGACTGGAGGCCCTTCACTGTGCTTTTCTCTTCTCATTCAGGGGTACCATCGACCTCGGCACTACATTGCAACTCAAGGTAAGAGCCGAAAGGGCCCTTGCCTTACAGGGGGGAGTGGAATAAGCTTCCACCAGCCAAGACGTTACATAGGAGCAGGGCTGGAGAGGCTCCAGAGGTCTTTAGGTTGTCCGCTTGTTTGTTTGGGAGGGAAGGAGGTGACAGGTTCAGCAATGGAAGCAGGGGAGGGATGTAAGGGAGAAAGGAGGGAGGTGTCACTGGGAAATGGTCAAGAGAGATGGGCCCTGGACCAAAAGCACTGGCCTCAGGCACATGCCATCAATACCCACCGCCCCCAACTGGAGCTGACGGTGCCTTATCTCCTCGACGGATGTGCACCTAGAAGAGACAGGAGGCCAACTCTCCTAGAAAGCAACTTACTAGGGTGTTATCAGAAGATCTAAAAATGACTCTCCCTCTCAAACTGTTCTGGGAGGAGATCCTGTGTGTGATTATATATGTGGGCAATGACATATATAAAGATACCTACCTTTCACAGTGGTATCTACTAGGGAAACAAGTGAAAAATCTTCAGTGCCCAACAAATGTTAGATTGGTTAAAGCATGATACTTCTATATTATGGAAAATTATGAAAATTTTCATGGTAAGAATTTTTAAGGGCATGGAGAAATGCCTGTAGTAGATATAATGCTTCTTATAGTGAATACATAGATATGTATTTATATAGAGAAATGGCCTTCCAAATTTTGTATCAAAAGGATCTATTACTCCTGTAATTTTAAAAACAATGAAGGCCCAGGACATTAAAAGAGAAATTTCCAAGGAAATTGCTTTGGACTCTCAGATCCTATTTCCCATTTTTTTTTCTTTTTTGCCCTGCTTTCTGCCCAGGCTCCAGGCAAATGCATTTGTCAAGCTGAGAATTGGGCCTCTTCTATTTGTGTTCTCAGCATCTGACTCCCGGCGGCTCCTCTGCCCTCTCTCCCCACCCTCATGTCAATTTCCTTCCCAGCTTTCACTGAGGATCTAGAGCCCAATTTTTGAAAATTCCCTTAAGCTATGTTATTTACCCCAAATACAAGATGGTGGGTTGGTGGGAAAGTGGAGCCTCTGGGAGGAGTCTGAGCAGGAGGACAATGAAGAGGAGAAGCTGCAGGCATGCAGACCCTACACGTTGGAGCGTGGCTCTTCTCATCCCCAGTCTCAGCCACTTGGGTGTCCGACAGGGAAGGCTGACCTCACTGTTATTCACCCGTCCGGAGCCTTCACTGACCAGCCGCGAGGGACAAGCCTCTTGCCTGTTTCCTAGCAGTTTCAGCCTTTGACCCTGTCCCGTTCTCTGTTGGCAGGTCCCATGCAGGAGACCGTGAAGGACTTCTGGAGGATGATCTGGCAGGAGAACTCAGCCAGCATCGTCATGGTCACAAACCTCGTGGAAGTGGGCAGGGTAAGCCCCTCCCGCAGGTGCCTGGATAGAGGATGCTGGCTGACGAGCCACGGCCCAGCATCTGTCTGTCCCAAGCGCCTCTCGTTCCACATTTCACCCTTGTGGCCCCGACGGGGAGAAATCCTCCCTCCTGTTCCCACTCGAGGAACGAAGGTCTCTACCCTTCAAACCCACCCCCCACCCCTTTCTCCACCCTCACGCTCTGCTGATGCCGTCATCTCGTAGACTGAGGAAATCACAGCCATCAGATGTGAACTCTCATCTTCACACTGCAAAGCTGCATTCAACTCGTGTCTCCAACCATCTTCTCATTCTTCCCCTCTATGATCGGGCTGGGCCATAAGGCCCGGCTGTTTCTGTTGACCTTCAGTGGTAGACTATTGGCTCATTCTTATGGCCCAGTCTCATATGATAGAAGAAATGACTCTTGCCCTTTCAAAGGCAATCCTAGTGCCCTGAATCACAGATTCCGCTCAAAAATTTCTCATCCTTCCCCCTCTCACTTGGAAAGTAATTCTTTCCCATTGCTAGATCATTCTCCTCAGCATACAGACACTCTGAGTACCTCCCCCCCTTAAAAATGGAAAACAAGCAAACAAAACTGCTTCCTCTTGTCACTACTTTTCTCCCAACTCTGAAGACCCACATACAGGTTCTGCTTCTTCACTTCTGTTCTCTTCCACCCACTCCAGCAGCTGTTCCCTCCATCCCAGCATCAGTCAGTTTCCCCAGCATCCTTCATGTCGACACATCCAACAGCCATGTCTCTCTCCCCATGGTACGCCGTCTCTCAGCAGCATCTGACCCTCTGTTCCTCGAAGCTTTGACATTCTTCAGGGTCCAGACCTTGGTCTCTCACTGTGTTCATCTTGACTCTCTCCTCTGTGCTACTTAGCGACTCCTAGGGCTTAGAAATGGGACTGCTCTTGCCAACTCGCTTTCACCTACTTGATAAACTGTGGCTTGTGTGCTGTGGGTGGGCTGCTGAGTTTCAAGGCAGGGTTCACAGACACTAGAATTAAGAAGGGCTCTTTACTTATCACAGGCGCTAACTAAAGAGTGCGCAGGTAAGTTTTTGTTTTGGAAAGAACGAGATAATCCAGTAAAATTAAAGGAGTCCCAGCCTCCCAGACAATGGGCAGGGGGAGGATCTGGGCTGTCAGTCATAGTTCAAGGCTGTGGACAGCTCATGGCCTAATAGGAGTTTAGGGCCAGAGGAGACTCTGTCCTTGAGCCCACTCTTACTGAGTACGTTGCCCAGTTTTACAGATGAGGGAACAGACCCGAGGGGCAGAGAAATCGCTGTGAGGTCATTCAGACAGAACCCAGCCACTGTCTCTGGACCCTGGACTCTCATTCTGGAGGTCATGCGCAAGACTGCTCCCCAGGGACTCTGGCCCAAGGAGCAGCTACTGTGGACCACACAGCCAGCCCAGGATTTAAGAACTCGGAGGCACGTTCTAGCCTGTTCTACAGATGTCCCCACTGGAGACAGATTCCCTTGATTATGAGTCTGATTTGATTGGGGGAAGGGACTGGAGAGCCATCTCTTCATAGTTCCGAGAAGGAGCCAAGTTCTCTGCCAGACACTGGATGTGCATTATTTCACTTTATCCTCCCAGCAGTTGTCCGAGACGATGTTCCTGGTCATTATTCAGACAGCCTGGCTTTGCATCCTGGCTCCCCCCTACCCCTTACTGACAGTTAACCCTGAGCAATTTTCTTAGGTTCCCTCTGCTTCTGATTCCTCATCTGTAAAACAAATAGGGCCAATAGTAATATCTACTTCATCAGAGTATGGTGACCAGTCATTAAAGTAATCTGTGTAAAGCATTCGTAGAAGACTTAGTCAGCAGGGCTCGAGGGGGAGAAAGCCATTAGACAGCGTTAGCCACTGTTCATCACGGGAAGCCGATTCAGAGAGGTCTCAGGACTTCCTGGAAGCTACACAGCTACACAGAGTTAGAACAAACAGTGCATCCACTTGCCTCCACACCCTGTTGCACTAAACCAGCATTTCCCTAAGTGGGTTCCATGGGTTGCTAGTCTGCAGGATGCTTAGCTAGCAGAGGGTTCCATGGTTAAATACGTTTGGGAAATGCTGTGGACTCTTCGCCCCTTTCAAGAAAAATTGCAAAGCACGTTAGCGTTAGCACATTCAACTAGCTGAGCAGTCCTGTAGCAAAATCGGCCTACTTAACTTTGTTTAATCCAGCATTTCCCAAACTCATTTGACCACAAAACCTGTTTTTGTTTGTTTTTGTTTCTTTTCTTTTTTTTTTTTACCTAACACCTATCAGCACCCAGCGGGACACACTGTGGGAAATGCCACTCTGGGCCGCGCGGCGTCCCCTGGAATGGTAATACTTTTGTTCTTTTAAGGGGCAAACCATCTCTTTCTCCTCCCGCGGCATGTGACTCACAGTCAGGTGTGGGGTTCGCTTGTTCACAGCGTCTGCACCCACGCGCGGGGCAGAGAGCAGCGGCAAACGTCTTCCTTCAGAGCCCAGCACCTTCCTTCCTCTGCCCAGCCACGAGCCTTTCTCCTTCCGGCCCACAAGCCCCGCCTCCTAATGTTAGCGTCCCTCTCCCAGCCACGTCCGCTTCCACCTCTGCACTGCTTCCCACCTTTTATTCTCATCTCTGCTGATATTACTCAGCTGCCCCAGCCTATCACAGAAAGAGGACTCTGCCAGCGGCAGAAAGCCTGCCACGTGACCTTGGATGAGTCACCAAACCTCCCAGTTGGAGTGTGATGCTCACTGGTACCATGGGGAGGCCTCACCCAGATCTAGTTGATCTCTTAGTGTGATCATGGGTTTGAAAAGTACCAGGAACTCTGCTGAGGAAGGTACCCCGATTATTCCCCACAGCTCCAGCTCCTCCGGGAGCCGGCCTCTCCCTGTGGGTTTTGCTCCTCCCCAGCCCTCCCTGGCCAGCTGGGAGGAACTCCCTGGTGGTTCAGTTGGTAAGGAATCTGCCTGCAGTGCAGGAGACCTGGGTTCAATCCCTGGTCAGGAAGATCCCCTGGAGAAGGGCCTGGCAACCAACTCCAGTATTCTTGCCTGGAAAATCCCATTGGACAGAGGAGCCTGGTGGGCTACAGTCCATGGGATCGCAAAGAGTCGGACACAACTGAGCAACTTAACAGTTTCCCTTGGCCAGCTGGGAACCCCTTGACTGCAAGTCCACTGAGGTCGCCCTGGAGGTTATTAGGACGGGAAGGCCAGATGAGACGGCCACTCATACTTGGCTGTCTGCTCACTCGTGCTGTCCCTGTCCTTTCCTGCAGGTGAAGTGTGTGCGCTACTGGCCCGATGACACAGAGGTCTACGGAGACATCAAGGTCACCCTGATCGAAACAGAGCCCCTGGCGGAGTACGTCATCCGCACCTTCACCGTCCAGAAGGTAAGCGGCCCTGCGGCTGTGCACAGCCTGCCCCCCACACCGGCCAGCTTGTTTCAGGACTCGCAGTGAGCGAGGGACTGCTCTGCCCCCATCCTGTACTGGGCACCAGGGGAAGATCAGGAGTCAGCATAGATGTGGATCCTGCTCCAAAGGATCTCACCCCTAGCAGGAAGGACAAATGGAATTCACTAGATTAAGGGACAGAATAAGGACATACAGTGATAAAAGTCACAGAGGAAACATGCCAAGGGGGGAAACAGAAATCCACAGGAGGATGAGGCGATCAGAGAGGGCTTCCTGAAGGAGGAGGCATTTAAGCAGATAATGAAAGGCAAGAAAGAGCCAGCCAAGGGCAGAGCAGTAGGAATACTATCCCAGGCAGGGGGAAAGATGCATTCAGAGTCTGGAGAGGAAAGAAAATCTTGACATGTTCTGGGCCTGTGCTTCTCAACTGGGGGTAACTCTGTCCCACCAGTGTCTGGAGTCATTTTAGTTGTCAAAACCATAGTTGCCATTTTATCCAAACACCAATATTGATGATCCAAGTGGCCACAGGCCTGAGGTTGCAAAAGCACTGGGACATCGGTGCTTTGAGAACTGTACACTAAGCCCAACCCCACTGCACGTCCCCGAGGGTAAACCATCATCCTGGTTTGTGCCAGGACCACCCTGGCTTTAGCATTGAAGGTCCCATATCCTGGGAAACCCCTCAGTCCCGGGCAAACTGACCAAGTCACTTGGTCACTGAGTGTCACCTGCCCTTGGCCTGCTCCCCAGGGGCATGGCTCCTGTGTAGCTGGGAGCAACTCTGTGAGGCAGGGGTGACTGTGAGCTGTCCCAGCCAAGGTCAAGGGAGCTGGGGATGGGTGCGCTGGTCCAGGAAAGAGCATCCGGGTGGGCATCCGTGCCTTCTACACAGCCCCCCGACCCACCCAACCAAACCCATCCTCCACGTAGCAGCTGCCGTGATCCTCCCCAAGTGCCCATCTCTGATGCCCTTTCCCTTCTGTGTTACCACCTGGAGATCCTCCCCGTGGCTCCCCAGTGCCTCTGGGATGAGGTCCGACTATGGCTCCCCAGTGCCTCTGGGATAAAGCGCGGAGGTCTCACAGTGGAATACAAAGCCTTCCAGGATGGAAGCTCCCCGCCCAGCTTCCCATTCCCTAGGCCCCGCTGCCTGTCATTGCCTGTCTTCCACTCTCCTCTGGAGCTGCTCTGGGCTGTTTGTGATTCTGTTCATGAACTAGGCTAAGTCCTGTCCCCAAGCCTTTGCCCTGGCTGCTTCTTTGCCTCGGAATCCCTCTGTCTCTTCCAGCGGTTATCACTCAGGCCTCGATGTATCATAACATTAGGAGGATGGACTGTGGAGCCAGACAACCAGGCTTTAGATTGTAACTTTACAGCTTACTGGTTGTGTGACCTTGGACTCGTTCCTTAACCTTGCTTAGCCCCACTTTCCTCATCCCTAAAATAGAGATGATGATATGAGGATTAAATGAATGAATACATTGAAGTCATCAGAAGAGTAACAGGCACATAGCTGATGCTTCATAAACATCAGCTATATGTTTTCACTGTTAATATGTTTCAAGACTCAGGTCAGGCACCCCTTCCTTCAGGAAGCCTTCTCTGATTTCTCCTCTCCCTAATGGGCTTACACACTCCTTTCTGTACTTTAATGGAATTAAAGGTCCACTTCTGGGCCTGTCTCCCCCATTACACCATGCTCTGTTCCAGGGACAGGGACTGTGGTTTTATTTCCACCTTCCTAGTGCCTAACACAAGGCTGGGTACAGATAACCCACCCTGAATATCTTTTAACTGGAAAAATGAGCAATCAAGCAGCCTTCCTATTCAGCGCCTCTGATATCTGCAGGAGATTGCTAAGTAGAGAAAGGTGGTTAGGGGGCACTTGACTGCGGACTAGTTGAAAACCACCGTTTAGCCTGGAGCGGGAAGGGAGGGGGAGGCTGGGAGCATGAGACCCCAAGTCCCCATCCGCCAGAGAAGTGCTGCTTTTGTTTCATCTTTTATCATCCCAAATAAGAATCTGATTCATAAAGAGGTCTGCTTTTCTGACTGAAAGTCACGGAGACTGTGGTTGACAAGACTGGAGAGCTGAGGAACACCAGCCCTCCGACCCTGAAAGGCCTCATGTTCCCCTGGAAACAGCTTGAACTAGGAGTCAAAGGCTACCATTTTTCTGAATCTGTGCTGCTGCATATAAGGCCCATAAAGCATTTAGCAAAAGAGGGTCCCGTGGGCAAGCAGCGTGGGTGTTATCAGACCCCTGGGAACTCAGCGTGTAGTTAGCACAGCGCAGGCTCTGAGAAGTCCTGCAGTGGAGCGATCAGTTTTGCGATATGCACTTCCCGAGTTCCCGGATGTGGCAGATGCGGAATTCCTGCAGCACCTATTAACCCTCTGAGGGCCTTGTCCTCCCTGCCGGCAGGGAGGCTGGATGCGGCTGCTCGTGGCCTCGGGGCTCGCGTGGGTGCTGGGCAGGGCGGGTGGGGCAGCAGCTAGAGGAACAGAGGCCCCTTCCCTCCTCAGAAAGGCTACCACGAGATCCGGGAGCTGCGGCTCTTCCACTTCACCAGCTGGCCCGACCACGGCGTCCCCTGCTACGCCACCGGCCTCCTGGGCTTTGTCCGCCAGGTCAAGTTCCTCAACCCCCCGGAAGCCGGGCCCATAGTGGTCCACTGCAGGTAAGTGAAGGGCCCCGCACCAAGCAGGGAGGCCCCGGCCGCTCTGCTGTCTCGGTGAGGGGGGTGGTCCAGTGGCCTTCGTTCTTTGCTCTAAGTGCACCCTGCCTGTGTCTCCTCCGCCCAGCCCTTTCTGATGAGACCAGGGTCCTGAGGTCTAAACCACAGTAATAGTAGCAGTTGTTATCGTTGCTTTTGCCCCGAGGGCACAGACTTGGCATCTGCTCCACATGCACTTCACCCACACCACTTCATTTACTTCTCACCCAACCTTGAGAGGTGGCCATTGCTATCATTCCCATATTACAGATGAGAAAACCAAGGCACTGAGAAGGCAGATGCTTTGTTCAGGTCGCACAGGTGTGAAATGGCAGATCCAGGGTATTAAACATGATTTTTCCCAGATGCTCCCCCTCAGCTCCTTGGTATGGTGGTGGGGTGCCCCCTGGAAGTATGCTTTTCTTCATTTCTGTTATTTTAAAAATCAGTTGCTGGCCTACAGGATCCTTCATAGAGAGAAAATGGACAGTGTCAGGTTTTACCTTATTATGGAAAAGGGATATTTTCAGCTGTGACCCAGAAAGTCACATTGGGAATGACAGGCACGTCTTAGAATCCTCCTGGATGGAGGTGCAGTGTCGTGTCAAGGGCATTCAGAGTCAGAGGAGGGCGGATGTCCGGACCTGAAGGCCAGCATGCTTGCTTCCTCCCTCCCAGCGCCTCTCTTTTCCAGTGTGACCTTAGACCCAGTCCATCTTTACAGACCCTGCATGCTCTTAACTGCATGCAGGTTATTTCCGCCCTGACAGTGTCCACGTCACTCAAGGTCTTGAGCCAAATCAAGGAGAGACAGCACGGGCTACGGCTGTCTCAGAGCCCCTCTCTCAGGCCGTGTCCGTGTGCCTTCATCACAACAGCAGAGTGTGAATCAGAAACCCCATTTTGCAGTTGAGGCCATTGAGGACTCGGAGGGCATACTGATCACCCTCTGGACTCTAAGATTCCACATATATCTCTGCTTTACATCTCATGGCAATCCAAGGGCAGTAAAATGTTCACCCTCAATGGTTGGATGGTATCATTGACTCAATGGACATGAGTTTGAGCAAGATCCGGGAGACGGTGACAGACAGAAAAGCCTGGTGTGCTGCAGTCCATGGGGTCACAAAGAGTCGGACACAAGTGGGCACCTGAACTAGCCCCATATCCCAGAGAGCAGCCAGAGCAGGCATAAGGAAGAAAGGGAGACAGTGGCAAGTGTTTATCAGGGCTTCCTTGCATGATGCCCCATGTCTGTGTCTCCATAGCAACTCACCCCGTCACACCTGAGCAGAGTGGTACCCAGTCCCAAGGCTGTCCTGAAGATTAGATGGGTTGGCCAATGTATACTATGTGGGTTTCCTTCGTGGGTCAGATGGTAAAAAATCTGCCTGCAGTGGAGGAGACCTAGGTTCGATCCCTGGGTTGGGAAGATCCCCTGGAGAAGGAAATGGCTATCCACTCCAGTATACTTGCCTGGAAAATTCCACGGACAGAGGAGCCTGGTGGGCTACAGTCCATGGGGTCACAAAGAGTAGGACACAACTGAGCGACTAACACTCACTGAGTGATACATCATGTACCTAAGAGAATTCCAGATATACAGTGAGCACTTAAAAATAGTACTCTTCTCTGCGTCTCAATGCTGTCCCCTCCCTAAACTGCTAATCCTTCAGGGAGAGAACCATGTCTGACTCTTCTTTACATCCTCACTCCTGAGCCCAGCATCCAGTGCTCAATAGATATTTGTTGACTAGAAGTAGCAACCATTTATGAGAAATGGCTCTGTAACCAGGCACAGGGCGAAGCAATTTGCACACATTGTGCTTTATCAACATAATTTCATGCAATTTACATGTATTGTGCTATTAATGCTATTATTATCAGCCTCATTCTATGGATGAGGGTATTGAAACCCAGAGAGATTAAGTCATTTACTCAAGGTCACACAGCTAGTAAGTGGTCAAGTCAGGGTTTGATCCCAAGGGTCTGACCCCAGGTAGTAAGCGCTTAATTGCTATGTGAAGCTAAAATAAACTGATTAGTCCTCCCAAGCATCCCATAGGAAGGAGTGTTATATGTGAAAAAACTGAGGCTCACAGAAATCAGGCAGCTTGTTCAAAAGAGAGAGCTGAGGCTCAGTTTAATCACTTGCTCAGGGTCTCCAGGCAATGCTGGGATTCTGTCTGAATCCCAGACAAAGCATCCTGCCTGTCTGCAGGGTCCTCGGGGACAGAGCTGGCCCCATCCCAGGGTCCCTAACTCAGACCCCTGTCCCTTCTTGCAGTGCTGGAGCCGGGAGGACAGGCTGCTTCATCGCCATCGACACCATGCTCGACATGGCTGAGAACGAAGGGGTGGTGGACATCTTCAACTGCGTGCGCGAGCTCCGGGCCCAGAGGGTCAACCTGGTGCAGACAGAGGTGAGTCCCGGAGCGGAGGCTGGCCTGGCCACCTGCAGCCCTGGCCAAGGAGGAGCCAGGGGTGGAGGCATCCTACAGAAAGAGACCTGGGCATGGAGAAATGGGAGGCCCTGAATACGTGGCTGGCTGTGGTGAGACCATCACAGAAGCTAGGACAGCCCTGCCAGCCTGAGGTCCCCCAGGTCAAGGACTCCCACCAGTGAGGAAGGTGCTGGGGGCCCCATCTCTGAGGGCATCTAAGCAGTGACTTAGTGGCAAGTTTCAGGTATTCTCTGAATAGGGTCCCTGCCTTGGGAGAAGGAGAAGAGAGAGGAGGCCAGGACTGGCATTGACTGAATGCTTACTGTGTGCAGAGGATCGCGTGAGGCCTTGCAGGAATGGCTCACTCGGCAAAGTTACTGAGTTCCGGAGCCAGGCTCCAGGGACTCCAAGAGGGAGAACGCACAACCCCTGCCCACATGGGAGAGGCGGGCCTCCAGGCGTCCGGATGGAGAGCCCCAGATGTGAGGGACAGGGAAGGGGCTCATCTTTATTGCCGAGCTCCTGCCTTGTGCCAGGCATCACCCTGGGCCCTCTGTATTCAGGGTATTGTTTCTGCTCCTTACAACAACCCTCGGGTAGCTCCTGCTAGTACCCCCATTTTTGGGAAGTGGTGTTCCCAAAGCTTGACACAGCCTCACAGTGGTAGGACTTGGGACCCGGTGACGTCAAGGCCCACGTGCTTCCCCCTGAACCGCACCGTCTCCCTAGGAAGCCTTTTCTGCCTACCCCACTCCTGGAAACCCTGGTCTCCCCATCTTCTGGTTCTGATGCGGCTATAGGTGCCCGGGCGGCAGAACTGGGGCAGATAGAGAGCTGCATCCATCATCAGCCTGCAGGGAGAAATCCCCCACGGCCCTGGGCCTGGCTGGTCACCGCTGGCTCTGCCAGCAGTCCCCTCACTCACAGGCTGTTAGACCCTAGGACCCTGCTGTGCGCTCCAAGCCAGCTCCCACAGGCCGGGCTGCAGGCTTCTTGGCGAGGCTGCTAAAGCCGAGAGGCTGCTTTATCTGTTCCGAGGTTCATGCACATGGAAGGCGGTCTGCTGCCTGGCGTTAGATGCATCTTGGTCTTTGCTGTCAGGTGGAGGAGACAGACATTCTAATAAGAGCATCATGATGCCTCTGGTAAACATTTCATATATAGAGATGGGCTAGTTCTGCAGAACAGTCACTCAACAAATGTTTGTTAGGGGCCTGGAAGTAACAGTACCAGCTTCTGCCTGGTGGGCTTGGAGCAGACTCTCCCGAGGGAATGAGACCTTGGAGGCGTAGAGAAAGGGGCATGGTGCCCAGGAGGATTGGGGCAGGTGCAAAGAGCTGGGCTGGCAGAAGGGGGGTGACCCACGCTTCCAGAGCAAAGCCTGAGACCAAGAGAGGAGGGCCAGTGGTCTACCTGGGGGCTGATCCCAAGACTCACTGGTTGGCGAGTGGGGAACTGAAAGAAGGGCTCGTTAACACTGGGAAGGTATTTTACAAGCTGTTTGACCCTTTGGACAGCTGGAGCCCAGTTCTGCCGGGGGAACTCTTAGATGGTGAAGAGCAGCTCTTCAGGTCTCCCACCCAAGAGACAGAGAACGCAGGCGTTCACCCCCAAGTCTCCACCTGGCATTGCTTGAGGCCTCCTCCCCAGGGCAGGAACTGCTCAGGCCTGCTGGCTCGCCCTGCACACAGCCCAGGTGTGCCCTCCAGGGCCAGAAATAAAGGCCCTCGGCCTGAACCTCGGAGGATTTGCAGTGAGCAGCCTTCAGCAGGGAGAGCTGAAAGCTGATGGGCCACGGGCTGGACACCATTAGCCCCGTTCCAGAAGTTTCTGGTTCTGATTCTGATTCAGTCTTACACAGGGAGCAAAACTCAGCTCAGCTCAGACAGCTACCAAGAAACACAGCTACTTGGCCCTTTAGGTCATGGGGTAGAAAGCAGTGATTCTGCAGCATGAATCACGCCCACCCTTCAGAGGTGCAGGGTGGACTATGAACAGCAAGCTCCAGGCCCTCCTTCTCCCCTGGTACCCTGACTCTCCCTGCTCGACCTGCAGGAACAGTACGTGTTCGTGCACGACGCCATCCTGGAAGCATGTCTCTGCGGCAACACGGCCATCCCGGTGTGCGAGTTCCGCTCCCTCTATTACAACATCAGCAGGCTGGACCCCCAGACCAACTCCAGCCAGATCAAAGACGAATTTCAGGTACGAGCACATCCCAGGCTCCGTGACCCAGCCAGCCTCAGTGCCGCCGAGCACAGTCCCGGGGCTTCCCTTGCAGGAATGGCTGTGTCTGTATCCTTCCAGTGTCAGCCCCTGAGAAGGAATTTCAGAACAGAAAGTGCACAGCCATGGGCAACTACTCCCCAGTCAGTCACTCAGTGACTGCTTACACCCGGGTATTGTTTTCTTTTTTTTTAATTAAAAAACACTGTGTTCTGGAACTCAGGTCTTACTTAGTTCTAGTCCAGGTTGTGGGTGGAGACAAGTTTATACACACAGGTGTGAATTTCATACTCTTTGATCCCTGGAAGGACTCAGGTTGTCTCAATATTTCTGTACAATTGGAACGTGTCCTTGATTCTCACAATTCAAAAGTGGGATCTTGAGACGAGCAGCATCAGCTTCACCTGGGAGCTTGTTAGAGACACAGAATCTTGGGTCCCATTGACCCGACTGAACGAGAGTCTGTGATTTAACAATATCTACGGGTGATTCGGATGCACATTAAACTTTGCAAAGCATCATCTGAGGGCACAGCTCAGACAGAGCAGAACTGCCCCTTGGAGCCCAGAATGGTGACAGCTTCGGTCTGGAGGCCTGGACTTGAATCACTGAGTGAGCCAAAACCAGAGTCCAGCCCATTGTCCCGAGGTCAGTGTAAGGTCTTATCTGGGCAATAGGAGCTGAGAACAGGCAGGGGGATCAGGGACACTTCAGGACTAAAGGGGCCAATGCAGGTCCATGGTCCCATGGGCAGATACCCCAGCCGGGTCAATGCCTAGTGCTACTTCCAGCAAATAGACTTTGTTGATTCCAAGTGGAGACTGAGCACCGAACGGGGGAAGGATGGAGCACTCGGAGCCCTGATGCTGCACAGAGATCTCGTCTGTTGCTTGGGGCCGTTCAGTTCTGGTCCCACACTTGCTGGACTTACTCTGCCAGAGACAAGCCCTGAAATTTTGTACACATGCTGGAGGTCCCTCCCAGGGGGTCCCTCACCAATCCTGGGTAACTCTTCTAAGCATCCTTCCATCCTCACGCATTCTGCCTCAGGGGCATGCTGGCACAATCCCTCCCCACAGTCTGTGACACTTCAGGTGAGACTTAAAAGTCATTACAGGATTCCCTACCCCCATTTCCCACCTTGTGACCTCTGTTCCATGCAGGATGGCTGGGAGGAGTAACTTAGGTCAAATGATGGGCAGGTGTTCAGAGACCGGGTCTGAGCCCCCACGAGGGTATGCCACCCCTGCAATTTTGGCCCTGCGGAGGTGTCCTCCAGCCCCTGGCAGAGGCTCTCAGCCCCCAGGGCCCGGATCAGCGAGCAGGAGATGACAACATCACCACGGACGAGAACAGTCCTGCGAAAGGGCCTGGAGGGCAGGCTTGGAGGATGGATGGAGGGAGGTCAGGCTGAGTTTGTTCAGGGGAGACTGTCTAAGCCATGCCTGCCGATCTGCTTTGCACCCCTCAGACCCTCAACATCGTGACTCCTCGCGTCCGGCCCGAGGACTGCAGCATCGGACTGCTGCCCCGTAACCATGATAAGAATCGGAGCATGGACGTCCTGCCGCTGGACCGCTGCCTGCCCTTCCTCATCTCGGTGGATGGAGAATCCAGCAACTACATCAACGCAGCACTGATGGACGTAAGTTGAGCCCTGCTGGGGAAAGCTCCTGGCTGGCATTCCCAGGAAAAGCTTCTTCCCGAGGGGGAGGCAAGTGCAGCCCAGGAGGATGGGCCCTGGCCGCCCCCCCCCACCCCCCGCTCCTCCCCCAACCCCGACTCCAGTCAGCCTCTCCTTCTGATCTTGTTGGTCCCAAAGACATTTCTCCCCCTGAAGGCTCTGGTACAAACCTGTATCTGAGCGCTGTGCTTTTAACTGCTTTGCATTTATAAGGATCCTGGAAAGAATAGATCAAAAGCTTAAAGTGAGTCCCATGACATGACAGTGAGGCTACAGACCTGACCGGTCCCCCTTCCTGCTACCTACAAGCTGACTGTCAGCCTGAAGTTCAGTTCAGGAAACATTCTGCATGTCAGCCAGGTTCCTACTGTTCCATTAGCGGCACTGCCCCCTGCTTTCTCAGCATCAAGTCCAAGAAGGCCACACCCACCCTGGCCTGGTTTGGGATTAGGGGCTCATGTTCCTCCCCCAGAGGGTCCATGCTCCTAACTCGGACACTTCTCTCCTGGATCCTCCAGGTACTTCCGGTCATCACCCCTCCAATTCTGGGTGTAGAGATGTTTGCAGCAGGAAGGAAGCATGTATCATCTGGTCTCATCCACACACTTTCCAGCAAAGGAAACTGAGGCCAGAAAGAGACTCGCTCAAAGACTCGCAGAGCACCAGTCGCAAAGCCGGAACCTAGGACTTCTATCTTACATTTTATTTATTTATTTTTCTATCTTACATTTTAGAATTTATTCTTTGAGCCTCCCCTCAGTTTGCTTGATCCAGTAAGATACAGACATCTTGCCTCCCAAGATTCCAGACCGAGAACAACATAAGCCTTCCAGGTCCTTCTCCCCATCTATGCCTGAAATCAAGTCCATCCAGCCCACATGAACCTCCATCTTACCTAGAACAGGAAGGAACATGGGATACTTTCTCCTGAGGTCAAGGCCAACCAACTCTCTGACCCCCTGATTCTCTGGAACTTTCTCCCCAAGCATCCTAAGTGTTGGATGGAGAGGGGGTGACTAGAAGTCCGTGCCTGTCTCATCTCTGGGGGGGCCTTCCCTGGCCTCTGCCCACAGGGTGCCCAGGTCCTCCATGGAAATTCTGGGTCCAGAAGCAAGGAGTCTTGCTTGCTTGATCAGATAAAACAGATGTATGTGGAGGGAAGACCTCTGGCTTTAGCTTGGAGTCTTCCAAGAACAATGTATGCATGTATGTGTATGTGGGTGCGTGTGTGTGTGCACGGGCACATGTGTGCATATGTAGTGAGAGATGGGGTCGGGGTGCACCCACACTTCCACGCTCTTCCCAGCTTTGTCTCCCACTTGTCCCAACTCCCCCTCCCTGCCTTCCTCTTCCAAGGATCAAGCACGCTCCTGGCCTCTGCTTAGTAGGTTAGATGCCGCCTGGAGTCAAATGCCTTCTGCCAGGCTCTGATGCTGATTGTATTCTCTTTGTCCACAGGGCATTTCTCTTGTGAGCCATCACTGGGGTCTTTGCCTTTCTTACAGGAAAAAAAAGTCCTTATCTGTATTCTAGCACAGTCTGTGCATTATCTGGTAACCATGGCAGCTTTGCTCCTAGCAGAAAAATATGAAGTCCTCTGGGTTAATTTTTAATGTTTCCCCTGGTAAAGGATGATGTTATCCATGAAATGGATTGCCGGCTGATCCCCGAAACCCGGCAGGAGCACGGATCTCGAACATATTTTCAGATAAGGCTTTGTCAGGCGTGCTGGCCTAATAGAGCATTTATCACAGAGACAGGGAGAAAGGAAAGAAAACTAACAGTCACTGAGTGTTGGGCAGCATGTCAGACCCCGGACGTAGACTGTCTCGTCCTGTATTTGCGTGTGATTTTCCCTGTTTTTCCAGATGACGTAGTGAAGGTCAGAGAATTTCCATGACTATCTTCAGGTCAGCTAGCTCAGAAAGGGTGGAGCCAGGGGTCTGAACCCCAAGACTTTTGACTCTCAAAGCCTAGATTCTTTCTCATGTCTCAAAATGTCTGCAGACCATCTGTCTGTGGCTGGAGTCTGGCTTTGGGGAAAACTCCGTATTCAGTTCTCCTAGACCCACTGTTGGAGAAAGCCCTTGGGGATAAGACCCCATAGTGCATCTGTGGCATCCCCAGTTGCAAGGCATTTTCTTTGCTACCAGGACACCAGGAGACAACAAAACAATAGCAAGTGCTTTAAGTATCTTATTTGGAAGAGGTTTTTGCCAGAGATTTTTTCCTGGTTAAAATGTGCAAACTCTTTCCCTCACCATCCTCCTGCTGGTTTGTAACACCACTGAAAACAGGCACAAACCATGGTTCAAGAAAACTTGCTGAGAATATGGGTTACTTCTCAGGTTTTACAAACCATTAATCAAGCAGGGACACTCCCCAGTCTTTTCAAACACCTTCTTACAGATGCTGCAATAAATAGCACCCAGGTAAAGCTTCAGATGTAGTCCAGACTCACACAGACTGTTTTCTCTGGGCCTCAGTTCCCCACCTGTAACCCAGGACTGAGTTTATTCAGTTGTTTCTGGACCTGTACTGGGCATCTCATGTGTTGGCCACAATACTAAAGGATGAAGAACCAAGTGAGGGATGTTCCCGCCCTGTTGGGGGTCTCATAGCTGGCTCATTGCTGCTCTTTTCACCTGCATATCTTTTCAGCCTGCACCACAGTCACGCCTTTGGAGTTATGAATCCCATCTTCCAGTTGAAGAACCTGAGATCTGGAGAGATCTCATAGCTTGCCCGTGCGCAGCACTGATTCTAAAAAGTCACTCTGTAAATGCGCTTGAATGAATGAATGGCTGGCTGGATAAATGGATGAATGGGTGGTTTATAATGTGCAACTGGCAAAGCTGGGTTTGAACCTGGTCTGCCTGATTCTAAACCCGGGCACTTTCACTGCCCCATTGGCTCACAGGACACCATGCCCACCTTCCGCCAGGCCAGCTCAGCCCTCATTCCAGCCTTGGGCAGAAGTGAGCCTCTTGAACCATAAGCCCCTTCAGGAGGCGCTCTGGACTGAGCCACCCTTCCCTCCAGCACTGTGGGCATAGGGGCACAAAATACCCTTTTATCCCAGGAAGTGTCTTGGCCGGCAGAGCAAATATGCATCCAGGATCTTTCATATTGTAATGGTGATTCTTTGCTGAGCTCCAACACATAAATAATTTATTTGGATAATCCCCCTCCCAAGTGACACCTTGCCAATGAAATGTCTGAGTTGGGAGGAGAATGAGTTCATTACGAGAAGGTCCCCTTTGCCACCAGGGCACCCAGAGATAAGAACGGGCGGGGGCTTTTGTCATCTCTGGCAGTCTCAGGGGCCTCTGGCAGCCTCCTGGGCCGCCTCCTCGTCAGAACATTGCTGACGGGTGTATATTTCACGAGGCCTGTGTCGTTCTTTTCAGAGCCACAAGCAGCCTGCTGCCTTCGTGGTCACGCAACACCCTCTCCCCAACACCGTGGCGGACTTCTGGAGGCTGGTGTTTGATTATAACTGCTCCTCCGTGGTGATGCTGAATGAGCTGGACGCTGCCCAGGTAAGAGGAGGCCCGGCCGGCCGTGGGTGCTCAGGCTGTGAGGGCAGCCGTGCCCGAGGATCGGAGGGGCAGCTCTCTGCTGCCTCTGCCCAGCCCAGGTACCTCCGGTGGGCACTGTCCGGCAAGGAGCACCAAGCCAGTCCGTTCAACTTCTGGCAGAGGCTGGGGATCCCCTGCCAGGCACCTCCACTTCCAGCAGTGGCGCCCCCGCCTATGGGCGTCGTCCAGCCCCCAGGCTTCCCAGGACCAGACTCTGGGGCTCCACCCTCCCAGGCGCCGGTTCCAGCCTTGCTCCACATCACGCAGAGCTCGCAGACAGGGCTGCGCCCTCCCGCAGCCCTGAGCCCCTCCAGGCCTGCAGACCAGCTGGCTCCTGCCGCAGTCAACCACTGCCCTGCTCTCCGCTGCGGCCTGACAGGGCGGGGGCTTGGACCACGGACCCTTTGCCCCCTGCCCACCCCACCGAGGCCTGGCTCCGTCCTGGGTGACCCGTGTCCAGCGGCCTCCACGCCTTAGCTCCTCTGAGTGAGTCAGCTGTGAGCACCGTGTGCCTCCAGCGCACACCCATACTCGGGACACCAGACACGGGCCGTGGGCGGCTGCTGGGGCTCACACCCCAGTGCCAGGGCAGCCATTTCTGGTGGAGGCAGTGATGATGGCCTTTGAGGGTTTTCAAAAGCAATCCCATCCCCTTCCTCTTGTCTCCAAAGAGCCCAGAGTAACTCAGAGGGCTCCCTGTGAGCACTCGCCTCGGGCAGGCCTGGTGTGGGGAGAGGAAACAATCTCAGCCCTCCAGGAGCTCACAGTCCCGTGCAGAGACAGATGAGCAAACCCCACCCCCGGGAGGCAGCACTCTAATAGAGGTCAGCCGCCTCGTGCCGTGCTGGCTGGGAACGGGGAGCAATTAATTCTGCCCAGAGGGTGAGGGAAGACTTCAGAAGGAAGGTGACTTTGGCCTTGAAGAAGGCAGCAGAGATCCGGCGTGTGGGGGATGAAGTCGCCGGGAAAGGGTGTTCCGAGCAGCGGGACAGCAAGGGCAAAGGCCTGGTGGGGTCACCGTGTCCGCTCGTCTGCAGGGTGGCTTTGGGGGCGGCCTGGCGGGGCAGGGAGGTATGTCAGGAGGAGAAGAGGGTGGTGATGCTGAAAAATATAGCCGGGCCAGCTTGCAGAGGGCTGCCCTTGTGGTGGGGGTCTTGGCCTGCAGCATGGTAAACGTCAGACTTCTACTCCGTAAGCAATAGCATCCTTTCTGAGAATGGAAGTTTTCATGCACGCCCAACCTTAGAAACAGGTACGATCCAGTGAAGCAAGGGTGGGGTCAGGAGCCCACCCACACCAGTCTTTGGTGCCCAATCAGGAAAGCTGGCCACTCTGGCGCTTTTGTGGAGCCCCTGGTCTGCCTGGGAGCACGAGTGGAAAGTCCTTGATGTGCAAGGAGGAGAGAGACCGCAGAGTGTAAGCAGGCGTGGGGCGGAGGCAGAACTCTGGTTAGAAAACACGACCTGGGGAGACCAGGAGACTGGGGAGGAGATGGTGGTAAACGTGCAGAAGATGCAGGGGTTGACCTCAACTGAGGAGGTGGCTGGGAGGAGGCAGGAGAATTAGGGGTGGATGTGGAGAGGTTTCCAGGGTTGAGGTCTACAGGTTTAGGGAGCTGGTGGATGAGAGAGAGAAATGAGAAGCCATGGATGGTGACAGGGGTTCTAGTGTGGGCCTCAGGCCTCTGGGATGCGACTGGCCAAGATGGGGAAGGTGGGGAGGAGTGGGAGAGGCAGCAGGAAGTTTGGGAAGGCAGGGAGGGGAGCTGATTACAACTTGATTACAACTGAAGAGTTAGGGGTGTCAATCATCCATGCAGTCAAAAATTCACTTATAATTTATGGTCAGTCCTGCAAGTACAGGGTTCCTCTGTGACGCAGCTCCTCTGTCTTCACGGTTACTCCGTATCCTTGGTTACTCTGTACCCGAGGTTCCTCCATATCTGCGATTCCCCATGGATTCAACCAACTGTGGATCCTTTGTGTGCTTGCTCAGTCATGTCTGACTCTTTGCGACCCTATGGACTGTAGGTCCTGTAGCACCATATTATTTACTGTTGAAAAAAAATCTGCATAGAAATGGACCCGCGCCGTCTAGACCCGTGTTGCCCAAGGGTCAGCTGTAGTAGGGGACAGAGTTGAGCACAACTTGGGACGTGCATGTGGGAGTCGCTCATTCAGGAGAGCATCTATCCGTTCCGTCCACATCTGTCGAGTAGCTGCTCTTTGCCAGAAGCTATTCTCGGTGCCTGGATTAACATGACAGAGAAAGCAAAACAGAAAATGCCCATTTCTTGTGCAACTTGTATTCTAAAGCAGGGGAGACAGTAAAGAGCACGCACTCTGTAACGGCTCTAATTATATGTTACCGGTAACAAGTGTGTGGGAAAAGAAAGACAAGGGGGCAGGGATGAGGCTGGTTTGGGGCACGGGCTGCACCTGTAGTTGGGTGATGAAGGCAGGCTGCACTGAGAAGGTCAGAGCTGAGCACAGAAGCTTGAGGAGGTACAAGAATGCACCCCGTGCCCATCTCAGGGAAGAGCATCCCAAGCAGCGGCACGACCCGCAGCAGGGGTGTGTGGTGGGACAGCAGACCCAGGCCGCTGCGGCTGGGGCAGTGCAGCAGGGCCAGGTCCTGGGGGCCTTGGCGGGGTGGGGCCACAGGAAGGATTTGTGAGTTTTCTCTGAGAGAAATGGGAAGCCATCGACAGGTCCTGAGCAGAGGAGGGACTTGAAAAAGTAATTTGACTTTTTAATACAGCTTCCCTCTGGCTACTGTGTTGAAAGTTGCCAGAAAAAGGGAGAGTGGCTGCTAAGAGTGGAAGAAAAGACAGAGAGGAGGCCCCTGCAGTATTCCAGGTGACAGGTGATGCTGGCTTGAGCCTGGGTGGTAGCAATGGAGTGGATTCTGGGTATATCCTGAAGGTAGGCCCAACAAAATATCCTGCTGGATTGAATAGGGAATGTGAGAGAGAGGAAGCAAGGATGACTCCACGGTTTAGGACCCAAATGATGGAAGGTCTGGATCTGAGGTAAGCATGAAATATGACAGAGTCCCATAAAACAAAGACCCCTGCAGACTTCCAAAGTCAGAAGGCATCGCCACCCTATTCCTTTGCCTAAAAAAGTGAAACATGAACCCATGAGGATAGCAGAACCCTTTTTCCAACACTTCTTTTTGCAAAACCAGAGGTCAGGCACAGAGGAGGAGTTTCAAAGAACCTCACTTTGGGATATATAAGAAAGCAAGAGGGCTGAGGTCACTGGCTATAGGACCCCCTTGTTCAAGGGTGGCTCTCAAGTGAGTGAAGATCTCTCAGCCCCAGCTGTCAGTGCGGGCTTTGAGAGCTGAGTCTCTAAATGCACAGACATCAGGCTCAGAAGTGCCCTGAGGTTGGCTGCCATATGCAGCTGGCAAGCCTCCCCTGAAATCAGCAGATGAATGGAGCACTTATTGATATAAATATCAGCACCACAACAGCTGGGCGCCTTGCGAAAATAAACAATGACACAGCGTGAGCGTCAGAAAAGCTGCCCTCAGCACCTGGCGGGGCGGTGCTTTGAAGTGGCATCCACATTTGTCGCCAGCGTGCCCACACCGAGGCAGCCAGTGCTCTGGCCAGTCCGGCAACAAGGAGGTCTGCCACGGGTCCCGAGCATGTTAGATCACTCCCGAGAGGACCAGTGCCACATCTTGTGGTTTGACTGGGGACCAACTGGTAAGGGCATGTGTTGCTGACTCTCTGTAATTTGTAGTAAAATAAGGTAGTGCAGAGGATGAGATTCCCAAGTGCTTTATTTTCTTGCACCGCTGGTCAAATCTGTCTGCTTGCGCTCAGAATCCTGTACCACAGCATTCAGCCAGCCGCCCCCAGCCACAGGTATCTTTCCATTCTCCATAGTGGCTGCTGTTCAAAGATAATTATGAGCAGTGGGGGCTTGAGATAAAGACTCCCAAAGCAATTTAATTGACCTTAGAGATTTTTTTTTTTTTAAAAGCTCTTTGGGACTCCGAAGGGCTGTGGTCAGATGTCTGGCAATATCTTAACCACAACATCCAGCGAATGATGCTGTGGTTTCTGATGGGCAGGTCATGAAGAACCTCTTCAATCACACCCAGTACATTGACAAGATCTCTTCCATCTTTGTGGGCTCTACAGTTAGACCAGAGTCCATGGGGAGCAGACACCAGAGACATGCCCTCTTCATGGCCAGGCCGCACCCACCATGTGGTTCAGAAAGCTCAGAAAATACTCAGTGCCCCACTGTTGGGCAGGTTCCGTGTGGTAGGCAGACTGTTGGCCCCCCACATCCAAATCCCTAAATGTGTGAACATGTTATCTTACATGGTGAGCAGGATTTTGCAGATGTAGTGAAGTTAAGGATCCTGAAATACATGGATTATCCTGGGTTATCCTGGGATGTCCAAGTGGGTCTGCTGTTAGAGTCTTTGAGGAAGGCAGGAGGATAAGAGTCAGGAGCAGATCATGATGATGGGAGCAGGAATTGGAGTGATGGGGCCGCAAGTTGAGGGATGCTGGCAGCTGCTAAGACTGGAGACGAGGACTGGCCTCTCCCCTGGGGATGCCAGAAAGGAACACAGACAGCTCAGCTGACACCTTGACTTTAACCCTGTAAGACTCATTTCAGACTTCTAACCCCCAGTTAAGAAATTTGTGTGGCTCTAAGCTACTACACGTGTGGTCATTCAGTAGAGCCACCCTGGGAAGCTAAGACAGATAGCAAAACTGAAAATGGAAATTCAGAGACCTGGAGGTGTGGGGGTCAGAGCCTGCACAGAGCATGAGACTGAATCGTGGGGAAATCCAGAGTCAGCCTGGGGCACGGGACTTGGAAAGCGGTTTGAGCTGAAGAAATCCATGTCTGAGTCGGGGTCCACCAGGGGCAGGGTGGGGAGAGCCAAGGAGAAGGCAGCTGACCATCCCTCCAGCAGCAGGAGGC